AAAGAAAGAAAGAAAGAAAAGAAAGGGGGGGAACCCCTCCAGTATCACATTTCTTCAGCTCTTCTCTAGTTACCAAAGTTCAGCCTCTTTCTTTCCCACAGAAAAGCTGATGCAATGGACTAGAGATTCACAAAGAAATGTCCGGTCCATTAACTCAAGAAGATAAAGAATGCGAATGACGTCACATTTCCATGCACTGAACTTACAAATCTCTGCTTTGGCTTATTTTCTTCTCCTGTCTGGAATCTTGAAGTGAGGAGACCTCCCTTTTGACCTGTACCTCCTGACAAAAGGCTTTGGCATTTTTTTTTTGAACCGGGGATTGAACTCAGGCCCTCACGCTTGCCAGGGAAGCACTTATTCTACTGAGCCATCTCCTTGGCCCCCAGGCTTTGGCTTTGGATGACAAGCTCCACACAGTGTAATAATCAGGCCTCCTTCAGCCAAGGGCCTGAGAGCCTGAGGAAGCCCACTCATGCCAAGGCCTCCAGTCAGGTGCTGCCCCCCAGCCCAGACACTTCCGCCCACTGCCTCACCTGCCTTGTCATTTGTAGAATATCTAATCTCTTAAAAGACAAACCTGAAATTCAGGCCAGATGTAAAGATTTTGCTCTATTTTTCTGTGTGAGAGTCAAGACCATTTTGGCGATTAGAGGACTGGTTCCAAGCCAACCTGGGCAAAGGCAAGGTTGGGAAGGAAAACCAAGCGAAGAACAATGACGTTAAGAGTAGCAATTTGAAACCAAAAGAACTCAGCAGCTTCCACTGTGTTGTTTTGGTTGGGGTATCGCTGACCCTTGAGAAAAGATTCTTACGAGTGTAAAGTCATACAAATCCAACTCCTGAGACGGTTCCTGCAATCCAGACTGCATCGCTGAGGTGGGTCTGTCGCACCACACTTTAGGTATCAGCGTTTACCTGGTAGGGCTAATTAACTCTGTAGATACTGTGAGCAAAGGTGCTAGCTCTGAGCGTGGGAGGTGTTCTACGGGTGCAGAGAAGGGCTGGCCTGCCACTCTCTCCCCTCTAACTGCTATTTCCAAGTCTGACAGCCCACAGCATGGATGTCCTGACGGGGCTTTGCCACACTTAAGGTTCCCTTTTCTTAGCTTTATCAGCCAAGAAGACTGAGAATGTCACAGAAGATGTAGGGCCCTTGACCCCATCCATTTCTGCTAGTTCTTACTGTTTTCCATCTGTGAAATGTTCCCTGCTTCCAGTGACTGACAGAGGGTGCTCAGGTGGCCTTGGTATAATTAGTTTAGAGATAAAAATTTGATAAGAATACCTCTGACAATTTTCTGCAATTATTCTGCCTTGAAGAACCTGCATGTTATCTGCCAAATCTCTTCCTCACCATGGGGTGGGTGGCCGTCAGCACCTACAAGGAAGAGGAACAAAAGTGCCATCAGCTGCATCTTGTCAACAATTCCTGTCACTTTTCAGATTTGTCCTTTCATGGCTTCAAAAGGAGAAAAACAAGGAATAATATGTGTTAAATGTCATCAGAACTGACTTCCTAATGCTCACTTGTTAGTCTCTGAAGCACTGAGGAGATTCTGTCCTCTTGTAGAAGTTTCCATTTCTACCTCCTCTTCATCATGGGAAAGGTTTTCCATTAGAATCATTTTACATTATGCTTTCTTGGATTTCACAGAACCAATAAAGAAGAGTTTCTTCTCTGAGGTTTATAAAGTGTTCCAAGTTTAAAGGTTGAGCGACATCTAATTTCAGGTTGTGGGAAACTATTTTAAAGGAAAATGTGCTGAATCATAGTTTTATAAATTTATAAAAGGCCAAAGTGACTGGAAGCAATTATTTGATGAATAGCAAAGAAAACATTTGCAAGTGGCTGAATTTGTTTATATTCTGTGTTTATGACAATTGAAAAATGTGGCTAAAACAACATAGATAGTTCAAAAGGAAACATACATTATAATGTCAAGCATTTGATGAAGCAGTCTTGTTATTAATAACACATTTTAACACATATACACCATATATATATATATATATATATATATATATATATATATATATAAAGAAAGCTGCCTATGTTGGCACATGGCTGTCATCTCAGCACTCTAGGAGGTTGAGGCAGGACTATCACTAGCTCAAGTACCACCTGAGCACTTAGTGGGTCTCTTTTTTTTTTTTTTTCCTTTGGCAGAACTGGGGATTGAACTCAGGCCCTTGTGCTTGCCAGGCAAGCGCTTTTTCTACTGAGCTATCTCCCCAGACCCTGAGTCTCTGGTTTAAAATTAAAACAGTAAGAAGGGATAGGGTAATAGCTTAGTGTGAAGGCCCTGGATTCAACCTCCAGTATTTACACCCACACAGAAAGGAAATAATGTCAGAACAATAGGAGTGACAAACTCTTTAATAATTCAAACTTTTCTTGACATTTAACTTTTTCTCTCGCCCTATAAAATAGAAATGTCTAACAAAGCAGTTCATTTGACCCTTCTTATCATCCTGTTGCTGAACACAATTGCATGTTGACACAGCTAGAGGTGTCAGGGGGCTGCCAGAGGTGACAGGTGCAGCTGGTCTCCTTCCACAGACCTGGAAGCTCCTTCTGGGCACCAGCTTTGGTGATTCAGGTTAAAAGTGAGCGGCCACAGGTTCTTCCCTATTCCTACAGGCCCCCACTCGTACAGTGAGATGCCAGCAGCAGCCACCCAGGAGCCAGCCCAGAGACGCACAGGGGTTTCCTCCCAGGCCACCCGAAACCCAGACCACCGGTATCCTGTTGCTTTGCATTCTAACAGTAGCTGAGCTCCTCCCCTGCCAGTTTTATGCCACCTGCTGGGGTCTGGTGCCTCTCATCCAGGAGACCTTCAGAACATCCCTGGGAGCTAATAAGTCCTAGAACTTTCACATCCCATCCCAAGTCCCTGAAAATATCCCAAATTATTATAAACATCATGCAGATACTCAATTTTTAAAATATGTTTTGAGAGGCGATATAAATGCTTATGTCACCCTGAGATTGCCTGGAGTTAAAATTTACTTTTAACATCTGAGCTGGTGATACAGCTCAGAGGTAGGGCCTGTGCTTGGCAAGTGTAAAGCCTTGGCCTGCATGTCCAGCACAAAAGAAAAAATAATCTTAGTGTAGTGCCCTAAGATCTGGCTACGGCCAGGCCAGCACAGTCTAATGTCCAAATGAAGCCCATCACCTTTCTGACATTGTTCTGAACACGTATTTCAGAACAGCAGACTCTGAGATTAAATGCCTGAACTACAGGTTATAGTTACACTGGCTCTGTGACCTTGAGCAAGTTATTTAATTTTTCTATGCTTTAAATCCTCCTCTGGAAATGAGGATTTAAAAGGGTTGCACCATGGTTAACGTGAGGATTACATGATTAACATTCACAGGAAAATCTTTGATGAGCTCCTGACACAAAATGAGTGTTTGATAAAACACTGCTAAATATTACTTGGGCTGATTTGTTTTTAAAACAAGTAATAAAGACACAACTTCTCTCACATATTTGCAGTAATAAGACTCCTTAGGGTGTAGGATGTTCTTAGTGGTGGAGCACCTGCCTAGCATGCATAAGACCTTCGGTTCTACCTCCAGCCCTGAGAGAGCAAATTATAGAACGGGACTAGTTGGGCTTTTGGTATTATTTTTGTAAATGAAGACTTTGGTCTCTCATCTCTAGAATAGTAATAATGCGCAGCTGAATCATATACTAACTTTATTCTTATAGAAGCAAGGCAGCCTGGACACCTGGTCGACCTGGGTGCGTGTGAGAGGCCAGCACTACCTGCCGTGTAGTGTGAAGGTCGCTTAGCTGACAGCATTGAGAAAAGTGCTAAGGATGCCTGGAGCACCGAGTTTCCACCCATGATCTGAACCCAGCACCTCCCTGACCATGTTTCCATGTGTGCCCATTTGGAGCGGTTTGTTGGAGAGGCACAGCTCAGTATGCGAGGGGAAAGTTTCACCCATTTCATTTGTGAATAGCTGGGTAAAACAATTTTCTCTCTTTCTTTTTTTTTCTGTCTTGCTTTCTGTCTTGCAGTATGAATGATAGAACCCAGGACCTTGACTGGGTGTTATATCCACAGTCTTTTTTTTTTAAATTTTGAGTTAGGGTCTTGCTAAATTTTCTAGTCTCGACAGTCAATCCACCTGCCTCAGCCTCCCAGGGGGCTGAGATTATAGGTATGAGCCACCACAGGGGGCCAAATTTATCCTTCAGTTTCAGTAAAACAACTGGTTTATAACTTTGCTTATAATTAATTAGTTTTCATTATTTTGGATTTTCAATGATATAATCCTATCAATTTGTAGTCAGCCCTCCCTATCTGTGGGTTCTATACTTCAGATTCAATCGAACACTAATTGAAAATATTTTCAAATGTCTATATGCTTAACATGTAAACACTTTTCTTCCTTGTTATTACTCTTGAAGCAGTTCAGCGGGGCAGCTGTGGGTGTGGCATCTTCATTGCACCGGGTGTTGTAAGCAATCTGGAGGGTTAGAAGCAACAGGAGGACACTGGTAGGTGATAGGCAGATACTGTACTCTGCATATCAGGGACGGAGAAGCAGCAGGTTTGGGTGCCTGAGCGGGGAGGGATCCTGGAGCTGACCCTTAAAGGCCACTGAGGGTACTGTTTTTGCTGTATCTCCCTGACAACACACTGAACCAGCACTGTGGAGTTGCAGCCTGGGACCTGCCTGGTGCTCGGGGTGAGGAACCAGGCTAGATACCTTGGCTCCCACTCTTTTTAAAACAGGCTCTTGCCAGGTAGCCCAGACTGGCCTTGCACTTGGCGATACTCCTGCCTCAGCCTCATGAATGCTGGCACTCCAGGTGTGTGCCACCACACCCAGCAGCTAGGGCCTCATGCGTGAGAGACTGTTCCAAACTTCCCTACTGTTCAGGACCTGGAAAAGTCCGCTCTTATCCACATATTAAAATTCTGCTTCGTTTTTTGAGACAGAGTCTTGCTGTGCAGTCCAGCTGGCCTCAAACTCACAGTGATCTTCCTACCTCAGCCTCCTGAGTGCTGGGATGACAGGCATGTGCCACCATGTCCAGCTCCACATATGAATATTCTTCCCCCCCCACATAATAATATTCTTAACACCACTCACTCTGGTCTCTGCTAAAATCTCACTTTCTAAAAAATCAATTTTCATTTAACTCTCTCCTCAGAGCTCTGATGACATTTAAACCTTGCCCATCCAACACATCACTTAGCTCTGGAGTCTCTGTGCTGACTGCTTGGCCTGCATGGTGGAGTCTGCCCCAGTCGGCTTTTGTGGTCATTCACTTCTTTGGAGGTGCAAGGGCTGCAGCCTGGTCCTTGGACCTGCTGGGCAGTGCTCTACCACAGATCCGAATTGCCAGGCCTCAGGTCAGGTTTGGATTGCTCCGAGTGACAGCTGCCACCTGGGCTTGGTGTCCAGTTTACACTCTCATCATAGTCTGTTCCTAGGAGCTTAGCTACTGAGCATCCCTACAAGCAGGGTTAGGACCCCAGTCATGTGCTAGTCTTCGGTTTCTTTTAGAATTTATTCAAATTTCAGTTAATTGCATGTATTCAGCCAGGAGTACCCCAGAAACCCATTACTTGAGAAGCTAAGACAGGATCTGGAGTTCAGGGCTAGTTTGGGCTACAGTGTGAAAAAAACAAAATCCAATCTGCACTCCGGAGTGGTTCTTAAAGGAAGCATGAATTATCCCACAGCCTTTTTTTTTTTTTTTTT